CGGTAATGAATAAGATAATTTCTGGATTGTAAAGGATTAAACTGAAAATAAAAGTATTCTAGATAAGTTCTTACTAATTCAGTAAATACAAATCTGTTTAAGAAAAAGATAACCATCTTAAGCTTCTCACTTATATAAGAATTTTTCAAATTTTTTTGTTTACCTATCAGTTCTTCTAAAGGAATATATTCTCCATTTTAAACTCCCTACATTTCTTCAAATCTACATCACATTTCTTCTTTCAACTGTGGAATTCATTTATCTCCTGTGCTAACTGAGAAATATGCACTTAAAAAAAGGCTTGATCCCCTTCGATTCTTATCTGCCTGCTTCTTTGTGCACCGTGGACTCACACGAGCACAGCACCCTGTCTCTTATCTCCTTTCTTACTGGGCGGTCATCTCAGTGACATGTATAACTTAGGCTGGTCTTTATTTATGGTTGTTTCACTTGTGCCACCGACTGAATTTTGAACATGATCCCAGACTGGCCAAATCGGATGGAAAAGGGTTGAACTTGATAACCAGCAGATTAATTTTTAAGAGCTATTCCTATAAACTCTCCTGTTTTAGAAACATCCCTCTTCTTGATACGTATCATTGTGTCATTATTTCTCACATGTTTTTCTAATTGGTCTCTACACTTATAATTAATAAAAATTGTTGAGCACATACTCTAAATATATTTTCATGAGACAATGTTCAGTTGTGGTAATATATTATGTACATTATAAGATAATGTAAGGAGAAATTGAACAGGAAATAATACTTGCTATCGAAAATGTATTGATTGTGGAGGTGGGAGGGAAGGGATGGTAGGGGAAAATCAAAGGAGGAGGCAACAATGCTTGATAAGAAATGGCACTCATTACCTTGCTTATGTGATTGTGACCTCTCTGTACAGTATTTTCACAATAAAAAACTTATTTTAAAAAAGAAAGTGTATTGAGATGCTGTCATTTATTGTTATACTGAAATTGTAGGTATCAATGTATATCTTGGTAATTTTGAAGTTGGAGACTTTCAGATCTCAGCATTTTGGAGGTTTTATTTTACAGTACTAAAACGTGTGCCAGTTCTGCCATTTTTCTCCTTGTTTATTGCTTACATTACCATTATTGGCCTCAGTGCACGTAGTTCTTTGTGGAGGATTCATCTAGTTTATAAACTGCATCATAATGTATAAATCCACTTAATCAGTCACATCTAAACTATTAAACTTTGTAACATGACTACTATAAATGGCAGGAGTGAACATGCCATTGTTAATCCCTCTACTTCATGGTATTGTTTCTCGGTGTTGTTTCTTCAGTCTGTGAGGGAGCCACCAATAATCATAAATTATAACTATTATTACAACTTAATTGCTTTGCCCCATCCTGTTTTGCACAGTTCTCCTGGTTTGCCTTACTTTCAGACAAGTTCAGCTAGTCTCTTGCAACTTATTTTCCTTATTAACAATATCATATGGCTGTTCTTAATACAGATTGCAGTCTCTGTTGTAATGGCCATTTTCTGGTTTGTTTATTAGTTCAGTTGATTTATTTTCTGGACCATTTTCCACAGTAAGTGGTTCAAGTGGTAACCTTAGTTGCTCATTACAAAAACTGTGGATCATTCCTAATTGTTTTCAACTCCATAGGCCAGTCACTCATCATCCAGAGTTATAGATTGCACTTCCTAAGACTTTTTTTATATCCACTCATTTTTTTCTACCAGATCTAGCTGTTTATCAACCCAGTTTTACCCTTAGCTTCTACCTTTCCATTTCTTCGAGTTCTCTATGTGATGAATACCCTGATTTTTCTGATCCTTCAAAATATACTAAGCATTTTCCCTGTATATACTAACATCCTTCCTATCATTCCTTCAGAGAGGAGTGCCTTTTCCCTTTCCTCATTGCTAGCTTCATTTCCTTCACTTTTTATCACAAATGTCATTTTTTTCATGATTCTGATCCCCAACTGTTAAGATTCATTTTGACCTTCATATTTGCTTTGGAATTCTTAGCATATCTATGAATAAATTGTTTAGATTACCATTATAGTATCTGGAAAATAAATAATCAGTAAATATTTAAGTTAATGAACCTTGTTCTGTCTATACATACCCATAGACTATTTTGCCTTGTATGGGTAATGTCCTTTGTGTTTTGGTCTCCAATATTTTTCCAGTATCTTAATACATTGACACAAACAAAAGTTTGATGAATCACTGTGGTGGTTCTATCATCTAATGTTTTTTCTTATGGACCATAAAATGATTGTTTATTGTAATCTTTCCAGTTGCTTAATAACAGTGTCTGCCATACCATATGCGGTAAAAACCAAACTGTTACTCTCTTTAATAGGTACATCTAGAGTCACATTTACTGTAATTGCAAATAAGTCTGAATTTGTTTCTGAGCCTTATTTTGTATTGCTGATTCTCTTGCTTGTTTTTTCTTCTCCTTTTATTTTAATTGATCAGGTGTTTTTTTTAATTGCTCTGCTAACTAGGAAATTATACTTTGTTTTTCTAATGATTGGCCTGAAAGTCTTATATTTTTGTAACAACATTTTACAAGACAGTAACCTCTTCTGATTTCTTCCTTGTCACATTACATATGAAAAAATATTTTTGTTTTCCAATTATGTTTATTTCTTACCAGCTAAGACTTAAGTTTTGTGGAGGGCATGTGAATACAGGCCTCAATCCCAGCACTCAGGAAGTTAGATGCAGGAGGTTTGTAAGTTTCAAAGCCAGGCTGACCTTCAACTAGGCCAAAATGAGTTATATGATAATACCCTGTTTTAAAAAGGGCTAGCCTGCCAGGTGCTGATGGTTCACATCTGTAATCCTAGCTGTAATCTCAGGAGGCCGAGATCTAAGGATCTCAATTTGAAGCTAGCCCAGTCAGGAAAATCGATAAGACACTTGTCTCCAATTAACTAACCAAAAGAAAAAGCTAGAAGTGGAGCTGTGGCTTAAGTTATACAGCATTACCCTTAAACAAAGAGCTCAGGGACAGCACCTAGTCTCATGCTAGTGGCTCACATAATTCTGGCTCCTTGAGATGTTGAGACCTGGAGGATTGTGGTTCAAAGCCAGCCCAAGTAGAAAAGACACCTGTCTCCAATTAAGCAGCAAAAATCTGAACTGAAAGCACAGCTCAAGTGAAGAATGCAAGCTATTAAGAAAGCTGAGTGAGAATGAAGTGCCTTGAAATCAAGCTCCAGTATTAGTACACAATTTAAGTTTTACCTGTTATTTTCTCTAAATTACAGTCCTACTTCTGGTTTTTGTTTGTTTTTTGTTTTTGTTTTGCCGGTCATGGGGCCTGAACTCTGGGCCTGGGTGTTGTCCCTCAGCTCTTCAGCTCAAGGATAGTGCTCTACCATTTGAGCCACAGCACCACTTCTGGCTTTTTTTCTGCTTATGTGGTGCTGAGGAATTGAACCCAGGGCCTCATCCATGCAAGGCAAGCATTCTACCACTGAGCCATCTTCCCAGCCCTTGGTTATCCTTTTTATCTAGACTATACTATTTTAAAGGTATGTATGTGTGTGGTACTAGAGGTGAAACCAAATGTATTTGGGGATAAATTTCCTAATAATTCTTTTAGATAGTATTTGGGAGTGATTAGTTTCTGTGTAATTTTATATCAAAATGTATTTTGCCCTTCTACATTTAGTTTGGCTGTTTGATTTGTATGTTACTCATCATTATCCTTCTGAATTTCAAGAATTTTACTTTATTTATACTTTCTTCTCTACTTCAGTATTGAAATTTTTGTTTCCACAATTTGTAATTGAGTCAATACAGATGTTCCCCAACATAAAGTAGACAATTTAATGATAATTTGACTTAAATACGTCTCAGTTTTATGCTGATATAAAGGAAATTCAATATACATCTGGTAGAAGTTGTATTTAGAATTTTAATTTTAATCTTGTCATAAGGTAGGCAGTATAAGACTCTCTGGTGGCACTGGACATTGACACCAGCCACAGCTCCCAGTTAGCCTTGCCATCATGAAGAAACAACTGATAGTCCACAGAGAACTGTGTTGCTAGTTGTGATGGTCAGTAGGTTAGATATATTAAAGGTATTTCCAATCTAATAGGTTTCTGAGGACATAATCCCATTCTGTACTATGAATCTCTGAAGATACATTCTTTTAATCTTACTGCTTTTCCTGCCATAGATTCTTCTTTCTGATTTTTCATTCTAATGAATCTCCTCAGCAATGTGTTTTTATAGATCCCTCTGTCAGCTTTTTGGGAAATACTACATTTGCTTCCAGCAACCTTGAAGAAGGGCAAGACAGGCTACTTGGTGGAATATTTGAGAGGCCCCAATTCTGGACTTGGGTGCTGATAGTTTCTTTGGGGATTCTAACCACGCAGGATCATTGTTCAAAAGCAGGCTTTCTTGTTGCTGGAAAGAGGGAGCCAAAACAATTAGCAGTTACTCCTCCAGAGACCCTAGTACCTACTTCACTGTCCCTTTCTGCTGTGTGGATTCTGTTGCCCATTTGCCTTTGGGATGATTTCAGAAGCCTTCTTATATTTTTTTCAACTCCCTCTGTGGAAAGCACATTGGTTTCATTTTTTTCCCTTACTAAATTCATATCTATCATTCCTTTCTTAGGAGCTGTTGAAATTCCTGTTTCTTAAAACTATATCTCCTGTGAAATTCTCTGTTTTACCAACATTTGAAGTAGAAAAGGCAGTAAGATGCATTGATCAAAGTAGTATCTTGATTAAAGTTTATGGTCAATAATTCTCTGCTTAAATATATTTTCAATAATATATACAGAGGGAAAAATAGATCTGTCTTTGGCACTAGTGTGGCTCTCTCCTAATACTAATATCGTGAAAGTTTGGGGAATAATTATATTTCAACAAATCCATATATTCCCCTTTATCTAGGAACCCTGTTTTCTTTTTGGTTTTAACTGCATGTTATTTTTGTAGCATAAAATAAAAAACTAATTTCAGGTGTTCCTTTTTCTATTAGGTTATTGCTGATTCAGCCATTCTAAAAGTTCTACAATCCAACATTCAGCATGTGCTTCTCTATGAAAATCCTGCTCTCCAGGAGAAAGCATTGACTTGCATTCCAGTCAAAGAACTAAAAAGAAAATCGCAAGAAAAGCTATCCAGAGCTAGAAAGTTAGATAAAGGTAGTAGCTTTCCATAATTTATTGCTAACTCTGCACCATTAGTAAATAAATACGAAAATAGTGCCTTCTATTGTGTATACTGTAAATAATGATTTTTATGAAGTATAATATATCAGATGCTTGGCTTTTTACAAAAATGGTATATTGAAATAAAATATAACTAACAGAAAAATTACCATCCTACTCATTTTAAATGTACAGTTTCGTGCATTCCTTAGCTCTTACGCTATCCATTTCCACAGTTCCTTGTCTTCTAAAACTCTGTACCCACTCAACAACCACTCTCTATACCATCCTCTACTAACTTCTGGCACTCACCATTCTTTCTGTGTCTGACTTTGCTTACTACAAATATAAATGAAGTTTTACTTTTAATGTGATTTCCTCAGGTTTCTTTACATTATACTAGATTACAGAATAACAATTGTTACATATTTAAACCATATTTTGCTTATGTAATTATCTATTGATGGGCACTTAGGTTGCTTTCATGTTTTAACTATTGAGAATAATGCTACTATGAACATAGATGCAATAGGTAGGCATAGGAATACACTCCTGCAATACTCCTGAGGTGAAGGTTGGAAGGACTGAAATTCAGAGGTAACCTGGGTAAAAAGTTAGTGAGATCTTGTTTCAGTAAAATAAACTGGATATAGTTGTTCATATCTATGTGAAGGAAACAGAGATGGGAGGATTATAGTCCCACACAGGCCTCAGGGCAAAAACACAAGACCGTATCTGAAAAATAATTAAAAACAAAAAGGACTAGGGTATGGCTCTAAGTAGTAGAGCTCTTAAGATCACATCCTTGGCCTATGGGTATGCCTTTGAGACCCTGGTTTTAATTATTTGAGATTTATATATCCAGAAGTGGAATTGCTAAATCTTATGGAATTGCTAAATCTTGCTAATTCTATTTCTTATTTTTTTGAGGAATTGCTATACTTTTTCCATTGGTGCCTGTACCATTTTACATATAATCTATAATTTCATATGTATTTAGTTTTCATTTACAATACATCTTGGAAATATTTTTAGGTCTCAATTGAGATTTATGGTATATGCATATTATTTTTATAGTTTTGTGTGGATGGATACTGATTGTGTAACATTCTTCTGATGTAAATGCCATTATAGTGAAGGTACTCAACAGATAAGGACTACTTTGGGACAGATACACAATGTAAAGGTGATGTGACACTTTTATATCATAGTAGGACTTGACATTATCCTATAGGTCCATTTATAAAAGAAGTGTTTCTACTTAGTGAAATTATTAAAGTTGTTGATGGGCTTTATTGATTTTTCTACTGGGTTAATATTCCGATTTCTAGAAGTTCTATGTATTCTAGGTACCTTTTATTTGCTAAGAATTTTTATTAACTTTATTGTTTGTGTGTTGTTTTTAAGAAAGTCATAAATAATTTTTCTACTTTTGTAGGAGTCTACAGACTTTTTAAAATAAAGTACAGTAGATATATCAGACCTAGGTAGTACTTGTGTCTTATTAGGTAGTTTAGTTCACCCCTGTAGAACAACTTTGAAATGGCTACCTTTGTTTCAAGTTTTTTTTTGTTCATTTTATTAAGTACTGTATACTAATTTAGATTGTCTTTCAGGATTGTCTCTTTTTGTTTCATTGATCTATATATTTTTCTTTTCTTTTTTTTTTAATTTTATTTGTGAACATACTGTACAGAGGAGTTACAATTACATGGGCAGGATAATGCGTACATTTCTTACCAAGCATTGCAGCCTCCTCCTTTGTTTACCCTTCACATCCCTTCCCAGCCTCCCCCCTCCCCCCCAATCCCAATCCTTCTCCTTCCCCCCCCTCCCCCCCCCCCACCGACGTTGTAAAGCTCGTTTTGGACATGACAACTTGTACTTCTCATTGTTGCAACAGGTCCACCTGTATCCTTAAACAACTGGTTTTTCCCCATCTCCTCCACAAGTTATACTGACATCAAATATAGTGAAAGCAGGGGTTATACTGTGGGGGAGGGACATACAAAGAAAGCAACAAAGAGATAATCTTATAAATGCGTTAGAAACACATGCATGAAAGAAAAAAACATTAAAATACACATCTAACGGTTCATTTTCCTGACATCACATTTTTCTATACCAAAATATTTTAATGAATTTGATCATGTTTTTCAATATGCACAAAGCAGCTTTCCCTTTAAAACTATTTAAAATTGTATTAAGAAAAACCAGGCTTTTTATTAAGACACTCATGCCATTCCCAAAAGAAAGTGATCTTTAGATAAAATTCAGACAGCTGTATAAATAGCTCTAGTTATCTGGTCAGTGAGGAGAAAACAAGCACTTTTGGTCTTCATGGTTTTTATTCAAAGGTACAGTGACTATTTCATTAATTTCTCTATGTGAATTCTGGAGGTATTTCTTTAAATGATTTCTTTAAAGGGCTGGGAAGGTGGCTCAGTGGTAGAGCACTTGCTTTGCATGCATGAGGCCCTGGGTTCAATTCCTCAGCACCACATAAGCAAAAAGAAAAAAAGCTGGAATTGGCACTGTGGCGCAAGTGGTAGCGCTCTAGCCTTGAGCTGAAGAGCTGAGGGACAGTGCCCAGCCCAGAGTTCAAGCCCCATGACTGGACTCCAAAAAAAAAAAAGATTTCTTTAAAATGATCTTATAATTTTAATTAGAATTATGTTAAATTTTAGATTCTTTGGGTTTTTTTTTCTTTTTTTTTGTCAGTCGTGGGGCCTGAACTCTGGGCCTGGGTGCTGTCCCTGAGCTCTCCAGCTAGCGCTCTACCACTTGAGCCACAGGGCTACTTCTGGCTTTTTCTGCCTATGTGGTGCTGAGGAATTGAACCCAGGGCCTCATGCATGCAAGGCAAGCACTCTACCACTGAGTCACCTTCCCAGCACCTCAGATTAATTTTTTAATATGTATTTTCATTGTAAAGATACTGTACAGATTGTTTACATTTACATGAGTAGGGTGATGAGTACCTTTCCTATTAAGAATGGTTACTGCCTCCTTTGATTTTCCCCCACCATCACTTCCCTCCCATCCTCCCTAATTCCTCTCTCCCCCCAACCCCCCACATTATAAAGTTTGTTTTCAACATTGTATCCTGTATATCTCATTGTCACAATAGGTCAACCTGCATCCCCATTTAAGCATTCCACTATACCCCTTCCCCTCCCCAAATTACAAAAATGTATATGCAAGATGGAGAACACCAAAATCAAATACAGTGAAAACAGGCTTGTACTGTGGGGGACAAACTTACAAAAGAAACAAAAGAATCACATAGCGCATTATAAGTACATTAAAAACAACAGCAAGAAAGAAAAAAAAAACCCTTGTGTGCCTGTCTTGGGGTACATTTCACTTAACATCATCTCATACAGTCATATGTACAAACCTTTGACCTTCTCTACTTGTCATAGACATGTACTAGTTACTGCAAACAAGGGAAATCATGGAACCTTTGTTTCTTTGGGCCTGGCTTATTTCACTTAATATAATTTTTTCCAAGTCTTCCCATTTCCTAACAAATGGGGCAATGTCATTCTTTCTGATGGAGGCATAGAATTCCATTTTCTTGAGCCATTCATCTACTGAGGGACATCAGGGTTGGTTCCATATCTTCACTATGATAAATCTGCAATAAACATGGTTGTGCTGGTAGCTTTGGTAACACCTTGTTTGTGATTGTTTGGGTAAATGCCCAAAAGTGGGATTGGTGGGTCATTGTGGGGGAGTTCTATGTGGAGTCTTCAAATCAACACAATGTTGGGATTCTACCTCACCCCAGTCAGAATGGCTATAATCAAGAAATCTAGTATCAACAGATGCTAGAAGGGATGTGTGCATTGTTGGTGGGAGTGTAAACTTGTTCAACCACTTTGGAAATCAGATTAATTTTTTGAGACAGCAGTTTTTGAAAATACTTATTTCCACATCTAGGAACATAATATATTTCTGACCTTTACAGTCTCCCTGATTCTTTGTTGTTATACTTAACTTTTTTTTTTTTTAAGTTCATGGGGCTTGAACTCAGGATCTGGGTGCTATCCCTAGCTTGCTGTCCCTAATGCTCTACCACTTTGAGTCACAGTGCCACTTCCAGTTTTCTGGTGGTTAATTAGTATAACACTCTCAAAGACTTTCTTGCCCAGGCTGTCCTGAAACCGTGATCCAGACTACTGAGTAGTAAGGATTTATATGTACAAGCTACCAGTGCTTGGCTATAGGTTAAGAATTTGAAACATATCTAATGAAAATATAAGAATGAAGTACAACTGACTCTTGAGTAACATGAATTTGAACTAGATATGTCCACTTACAAGCAAGTTTTTAGAGAGATATGTGACAATTTTAAAAATCTCGTACAGATTAACCCTGTAGCTTAGAAATATCATCAAATAAGCAAAGCTAGGCATCAGTGGTTCACACCTAAATCCAACCTACTCAGGAGGCTGAGATCTGAGGATCATGATTCAAAGCCATCATGGGAAGGAAAGTCCATGAAACTCTTATCTCCAATTAGTGACCAAAAAGCTAAAAGTGGAGCTGTGGCTCAAGTAGTAGAGCACTAGCCTTGCACACAAACTCAGAAATAGTGCCAGGCTCTGAGTTCAAGTCCCAGGACTGATACAAAATAAGTAAATAAGCAAGCAAAGGTGTTTCATGGATACATGAAATACATATATTTATGAGATAATTATTTTATCATACTGCATAAATATACAGGAATACATTTTTTTAAACTTAAAAAATTTCAAAACTTCAGCATACCTGACTTCATTCAGTTGAGAAGTGTAAGCATACATAAAGATGTACTGTTAAATTATAACTGCCTAACATCAACTCTAGAATATGCTGTATCATTAAAGCCAAGTCCAACAGCTTCTTGTCCTACTGCAGACAAATTCAATCCTCTTGTGCATGGAGAAGTGAAGGAGGTGCTGACAGCAAGGGTACAGAACAGGATGGACCAGTAAGACAGTGTATGTATAAGGCTATAGTTCACAATTCTTTGTGGCTCTCCTTGCCAAAGACAGCCTGGAGAAGGTGACACTAAAGATGATGAAGGAAGTCAAAGAGATGAGACTTAGCAGATTATCTCAGCAATTGTTTTGCTGCAACTTGTTATCTACCCAGTACCCAACAAATGCTAAACCACAAGATGACCAAGCCAATTGTGGCTAAGCCAGTTGAGCCTAACTAAATGTTAGTTTACCGTCCATCCAATCTTCTAGTCATCCTCCACAGGAAGAAATGAGTGTGAAACTCCAGCAACAAGTAATCAAGAAAAGATTGGAGCTGAAGAACTAGAGTGCTTAATTTTTTTTTTTCACTCATGGACCAGATAACTAGAGCTATCTGCATTATATCAGCAGCATGGGAATTTTTATTTTACTTAAAGCCATCTTTTTTGGTAATAATGTGTGTGTGTGTGTGTGTGTGTGTGTGTGTGTGTGTTTCAGCCAGCTTTTTCTCTGTATACATTTAAAAGTTTTAAAATTGTTTTCTGTTTCGTCAAGTTGTGATTCTTAAGAACTTCATTTTTAAATTGTAGTACAAATTTAGAATTTGAATTTTAGAATTTGAATTTTTTCAAGTTAGTAGACTGGAAATAAAGCTCTTAAGTGATTTTAAATAAATTATACAGCTATTCCACTTATAGGAATTAGGTCCCCCCCAAGTTGATACATGGGTTATTTTTTCAACCTAATTCACAATCTACTAATGGTTCTTTCTTGACCCTTATTTGGGAAACCTTTTGTGTCTCATGTTTTAGTATGTCACTTCCTACTTTGAGAACAAAGTATGTGTAGATAATTTTAGATTTGATTAGCTTTAAGTCTCCTACTTTGAGAAAACAATATGTGTAGATAATTTTAGATTTGGTTGGCTTTAAGTCTCACTTGGTTCCCTCTTCCTCAGGTTCTAATATCAGTGATGAGGATTTCCTTTTGCTGGAGCTTCTACACTGGTTTAAAGAGGAATTTTTTCACTGGGTAAATAACGTCTTATGCAGCAAATGTGGTGGAGAAACTAGGTCTAGAGAGAAATTATTGCCCAATGATGATGAGCTGAAGTGGGGTGCAAAAAATGTAGAAGATCATTACTGTGATGCATGCCAGTTCAGCAATCGTTTTCCAAGGTGGGTTCCTGGAAAGGAATCAAAGCAGTCTCTAAATGGAATGGTTGGAAGTTAATTTTTATTAAATGTAATTCTAATTCTTCATTTTCATTCTTAGAAATCAGTTTCTGTAGAACAGAAGTATGTAACCTATGCTGGGTAGGCTTAAACCAGCTTCATTCTAGTTTTGTAAATGTTTTATGGTAACACATCCATGTTAATTTATTTACTTAGGAGGATCTGTGACTGTTTTCAGTCTGTAGCAATGGAGTTAAATTTTGGTGACAGATCATATTATCTGTAAAGCCTAAAATATTTACTGTCTATCCTTTTATAGGACAGTTAATAACTCTTGTTCTAGAATATACATTTTAAGTGAAATCATAGAATTTTTAAATTCTGTAAATGTTTTAAACTATATGATTTTAATTTTATGGAATAATGGCAATAATGCTGGTCACTTTGATAGTAAATACAGTCCTGTATTTAAAGTAATCCTCAAGTAATATGGAAGATAAAAATAAAGTGCAATGTGGCTATATTGTTTCATTAATTTTAAAAAGTTTGTTTTAATTAAGACTTTCTCACCACCTAGCATATCTCTGTATTTTAAACTAAGGCAATTTCAATTTACTTTTTATAGGCCTCTGTGGATTTGCTTAATTGGCAATACTTAGAAAAATTGGGTTATATTATGAAGCAAAGAAATACATGTTTCTAAAAACCCTAATTTGTGTTTGTTGGGTTTAAGAACTCAGTTCTGTCCTTGATTTACAACCATCCCTATGTTATACAGAATATAGGACAAGCAGAATATAATATGCACCAATTATCTAAAATTAGTTAAAGCTGTTTCTTTAACCTTGAAAGGGTAAGATATACATGTAATTAAGTCCTTCTAGGCAACAGGATTTAAACTGATAATGCAAAATGAAGTGGCACAGGCTAACATAGATACTTAAAATAAAATGTTATCTGTCATTTTCTTGGTTTACTGTTACCTGTTCTCTCTATATAGATACCTGGAGGTTTTGTGTTTGCTATTGTGGTGCTAGACATAAAACCCCTGGCTTTATGCATGGTAGCCAATGAGCTATACCTCCAACCCTAGATACTATTTATTAGAGGCTAATATAGTTCATTTTTTAAAATGGTTTGTTTGGTACTAGAAGTTCAACCTAGAGTGTTGAGCATGCTAAAACACAACCTCTAATCTAATAGATTTCAATTTAATTGACACCTATAGTATTTATAAAAAGTAGAAGCATAGGATGCTGTAATTTATGCTTTTTGAGTAGAGGTACTAGGGCTTGAACTTATGTTCTCCCTTGCTCTTTTTTTTCCCCCGTTTACTCTGCCACCTGAGCTACAATTCAACCCCATACTTCCAGCTTTTTGCTACTTAAATAGAAATAAGAGTCACATGGACTCTTGTGCCTGGGCTGGCTTTGAACTTTGATTCTCAGATTTCGTTCTCCAGTATCCAGGATTACAAGCATCATCCACCTGTACCCAGCTATTATGCATTAATTTTTGTAAATTTATGCCTTTCTTTAGTTCTCTTTTGAAATTCAAAATTTATTTAAACTTGTCTGGCAATTTAAATGAATTTGATTTCAGAATAAAATTATAATCAAAATGGTCATTGCAAATGGATATTGAATTAAAATGAACTAAGGTAGCATCTTTATAGGGTAGTTTTAAACACAGTGCACTAATTTTACCACTTTTTAAAGTAGTACCAATTCCTTAAGTACCTTTCCTAGAGAATCTGCCTCTCCAATCTTTATTTTTCAAAGACCAGTTTAAATACACCTTTTTCAGTTACTCTCATATCACTAAATCTAATCTGTCATCTAGCTTGTATCACTTTCTGCCATTTTGAAAAATTATTTGTGTTAATTCTTTTTTGAAGGACTGTAAACACCTTGAAGGCAGTACCACTGTTTTGTCACTTTTATCAAAGGTTCTATCTAGTAGGATGTCTAGTTATAGTCTAGTTTCTATCATCAGAATATTTAAAAATAAGGAATTAAGAAATATGATTTAAGTATTATAGACAAGTTATAATAGATCCTAGAACAGTTCATTGTTCAAACCAAAAATCCACAAAGAAACTTCAAAACTAAATGATACTATGAATCAAATGACTTCATAGATACCTAGAGCAAGCATTTCATCCAGCAGATCCATAATACACGTTCTTCTCATTCAAAGCCCATAGAACTTTCTTCAAAAGAGATCATATTTTAGAGCATAAAGCAAGCAAGTCTTAGTAAATATAAACAAATTGAAATAACTTTCTGTATCCTATCAGGCCATAGTAGAATAAAGCTAGAACTCAACAACAACAAAACCTGTGGAAAATGAAGACTTTTAAATGATCAGTTTGTCATAGAAGAAATAAGGGTACAATCAAAAAGTTCCTAGAATCTAGTAAAAATGAAAGCACAACCTACTACTAGAACCTTCAGAACATATATTTCAAAGGTAGTACTAAGGAAAAAAATTATAGCTATGAGTGCCTAACATAGAAAAGGAAGATATCAACCTAATGATGCACCACTAGCTCCTAGGGAAACAAGAACAAGACATTCAAAATTAGCAAACAGAAAGAATTAAGATTAGGGCCGCAGTTAATAAAATTGAAACTAAAATAAAACTATGCAAAGAATCAATACATCAAAACTTGGTTTTTGAGAAAATACTGATAATCTTTTGACCATCTCACCAAGAGGAGGAGGGAGGGAAATGATCTAAGTTAGTAAAATTGGTGGCAAAAAGGGTACATCACAACAAATAGCCATGAATTATGATTGAAGTTTAGCATAAAGGTAATATAAGTAGTTTAAAAAAAACAACCACCTTGATTTTGATAATGAGGCAGTATTATCTTTGTTTTTTAAAACAGATATAACGACCCTGAGAAACTTTTGGAAACAAGATGTGGACGATGTGGCGAGTGGGCCAATTGCTTTACACTGTGCTGCCGAGCTTTAGGGTTTGAGGCTCGCTACGTTTGGGATTATACAGGTATATAATGCAGTATGAGCAGAGAAGAAGGCGGCTTTGTAAACTTTGTTTGGGTTTACACTCTGTAAGCCCATCATTTTCCCTTACATTCTGACCTTGTCAGTCTCCCATTTGCTTTCTATAAAATATCAGTAATGCCACCTTCACAGGTTCTTTTTTAAAGGAACTGCAAGATTTTTATTATATAGTCAAGCACTGTATCTAGTTCTTTTTACCCTATTCTCTTACTAATTTTACTAATAATTTATCCTAGAACTTGCAATAATGTTGTTTCTGTATAGTTAAGAACATATATAATAATGTGCTATATATATCTTTATTTTTAGAGGTATTACTATAATTTAGTAAACAAGTTAGAGTATACAAAAGTTTAAAAAAAGCCCTATCTGTATTGTCTTTGTTTAGGAATGACTTATACCAGGGCATGGTGACTTATAATTGTAACGCTTGTAAGGCTAAGACAGGAGGTTCAAGAGTTCAAGGCCATCCTGAGCTACATAGTGAGGGACTCTCCCCTCTCCCCCCCCCAAAAAAAAAGGAAAAAAAAGGAAAGAAAAAAGAAATAATATATGTCTATATGTTAAAAAGTCACCTTCCTTGTTAGGGTTTTATTTGTGACTTCTTTGTCTTGTTAGAATCATATAAAACCTTCAGTTAATAGAACATTCCTGTTAGACCTGCTGTTTCTGGGGCTTAGGGTCCACAGAGATGTTACAGCTGCAGAAATAGCATTAATTCCTTCACATTGGAAAACTGAGCCTGATATTTCATGCTGCTGTTGACACGTTGTTTTTAACTGAGACTCAATCTACCTACATTTTCAAGGATTACAAAGAGACAAAAATGAATACAAGTATTTTAGAGTTGTGTATGCCACGAAATGCTTACTCTGTTAACTAAAATTTAAATGATACAAATTACTTTATGTGATTCTTAGGGATTTGTATATAGTCACTGGAAGTCATTCTGGTATTATAGATGTAACTTTTATTCCCTTTTTTTCCTTCTCATCTTACTTGAGTAGACCATGTTTGGACAGAAGTCTATTCTCCTTCTCAGCAGCGGTGGCTGCACTGTGATGCATGTGAAGATGTCTGTGACAAACCACTCCTTTATGAAATAGGATGGGGCAAGAAGCTTTCTTATGTCATAGCATTTTCTAAAGACGAGGTAGGGCGTAAGAGAAATTATTTTCTGAAAATAAAATAGAAACTTGTCTTGGCAATGTCATAAGGTTATAACTGCCATATAATAAGCAGCACATAATTTCAGTTCAGAGGTTAGTAGGCTTGCCATAGGTATGTACCTATGAGCTCATGACTACCGTCAGTATTCCGCTGTGCTTACCCATTTTACCTATTGAAAGACATTTGAGTAATTTTCAGTTTTTAATATTTTAAGCTGTTATGGACATTGGTGCAAAGACTTTATATGGCATATACTTGCTTTTCTTTGCTTAATGCCTAGGAGTGGAATGGCTGGATTATATGGTAAGTGTACATATAACAAAATGTTTAAGAAAATTGTTAAATTGTTTTCCCAGTGACTGTGCTATTTTACATTGTCACCAGCAGTAATTGAGAGTGTGAGGTTCTCCACATCCTGGCTAACATTTAGCATGGTTCAACTTTAATTTAGACCTTTTAATAGATGTAAAGTGATATCATTATGTTTTCACTCGTATTTCCCTAGTGACAAATCGTATCAATCATTTCTTTGGTACTTATTTGTTATCCATGTAATCTCCTTTGACTTTGGTTTTTCCCATGGTGTGTATTGTTTTTTTACTAATGATTTGAGATTTCTTTTATCTATTCCTGCATAAGCCAATTAGCAGATAAATGCTTTGCAAAGATTTTTCTTTCCATCTGTAGCCTTTCACATTCTTTGTATGTATATGAGTGTGTGCACGCACATGAATGTACATGTGCACATGTGCCATACTGGGGCTTGAACTTGGGGCTTCAAGCTCTTGCTTAGCTTTTCACTCAAGACTGGCACTTTACCACTTTAGCCACATCTCCGTTTCTGGTCTGGTTTTTTTGGGGGGCGGGGGGGAAGAGGGTTTGCTGGATAATTAGAAATGAGACTATCTTAGATTTTGTCTGCCTGGTCTGACTTTGAACCATGATCCTCATATCTCAGCCTACTGAGTAGCTAGGATTATAGGAGTAAGCCTGTCAACTTTTCATGTTGTTAATGACTTGAAGAGTATTTTAAAAACACATTAAAATCCAATTTGTTACTTTATAGATTGTGCCTTTTGATATTGGACCTAAGGAATTTTTCTTAGCCCCGATCACAACAGTTTTCTTTCAGAAATTTTGTGGTTTTGGTTTTATGTTTATTCTGTGGTCCATTTTGAGTTAATTTTGTAGAAAATTCAATTTCAGCATATGAATATGAATTATTGTAGCATTATTTATTGAAAAAGTCCTTTTTCTATGGAATTTAATTTTGTGGAATCAGATTTCTAGATAGAGCAGATTGCTAATATTCTCACATTTTTATCTTTAGAGTACTTCTTGGAAGTCTATTCAGAAATGAGAAAAAATTCATTTCTTTCAGAAGACTCTTTTTTTCTAATTTTTTTGAGAGAGTCTCACTATATAGCCTGCAATAGACTCAAACTCTACATCTTCCTATCTTAGGCTCCCAAATAGTAGGATTATAGGTATATACTACCAACAACTGATTTGTTTCATTTTGTGTATGTTTGTATGGTTCCACAAATGGAAGCCACATGCTAGACAAGCCTTATATCACTGAATTATATTCTCTACCTTAGTTATTAAATTTTAAAGAATTTTATTACTGGGGACAATGGCTACTGCCTGTAATCCTGGCTACTTAAGAGGCTAATTTTGAGGATCATAGTTCAAAGCCAGCAAGTGTGTAGGAAAGTCCACTAAACTTCATCTTCAGTTAACCAGCAAAAATGCCAACTAGAAGCATGCCTCAAGTGGTAAAGTACCAACTATAAGCAAAACCTAAGAGCCTGAGGCCCTGAGTTCAATATCCAGTCTTGGCACACAAAAAGAAAACACACAAAACAACCACCAGAAAAGCCTAGTCTTTTAAAAATTGCATTTAAGAACTGCATATATTGTAGGTATTTATCATATAAGGTTGATAGTTAGAATCTTACTAAATTTTGCATTCTGTAACCTGTTTCAGGTAGTTGATGTCACTTGGCGGTATTCTTGTAAACATGAAGAGGTAATCTCTAGGAGAACTGAAGTTAAAGAAGACTTACTTCGAGAAACTATTAATGGGATTAATAAGCAGGTGTGAAATACCTAGTTGTCTTTTTTTTTTTTTTTTGTCCATCATGGGGTTTGAACTCTGGGCTGTCCCTCAGCTCTTTAACTCAAGGCTACCACTCTACCACTTGAGCCACAGCACCACTTCTGGTTTTCTGAGTATTTATTGGAGATAGGACTTGTCTGCCTGGGCTGTCTTTGAACCATGATCCTCAGAACTCAGCCTCCTGAATAGCTAGGATTACCAGCACCTGGCTCCTAGTTGTCATTTAAATAATGTTTCTTTTTTAAATACGAAATGTCACATTTCTTAAGTTCAGTGAAATAAAAATTCAATATTTATAGTACTTGACACACCTTAAAGTCTTTCAGAGATACCACTGGCTCACTGAATCACCCCTTGTCTTAGAAGAGTCTAGACTTCAACTTATTTTCTCCTCTGCTCTTTGACCTGATAGGAGTTTGTGGGTGTAGGATTTTGTTTGCTTATTCATTTAGTTATTTTTCCCCCAATAATACCAGGCTTGAACTGAGCACCTGAGCTGTTGCTAGCTTTCTTGCTCATAGCTGCTGTTCTGCCACCTAAGCCAAGCCTTCAGTATGACTTTTTGCTGGTTATTGGGGATGATGGAGTCTCTTGGACTTTTCTGCCAAGACTGACTTTAAACATTAGTATTCTGCATAACTAGTACTAAAGTCATGAGCCACAGGTACCCAGCTAAAATTTAGCTGTTTTTTTTTTTTTCAACACTTCAGTTACCATTTTGTGGTTGGGTTTCCAGCCCTTCTTTTTCATACCACTTAATTGGCCAGTATCTGAAGGGGAGAAAAGATGCAGTGTATATGTGTGTGTATCTATAGATGCTACTTTCATTTTAAATTTAGGACTTGGAGCATTAAGAATAGGTAAAATGATTTCTTAACATAAAATGTATAAAATTATTATTTTTATTTTCTAAATGCTGTAAAAGTAAATTTGCTTACTTCTTTCAAGACCTCTTAAAATGTAAATGCTTTTAAGTGTATTTTGCTTACATATGTACTTGTACATTAATCTTTATCTAACTGCAGAGACAACTATCTTTGTCAGAAAATAGAAGAAAAGAACTTCTCCACAGGATAATTGTAGAGCTTGTTGAATTTATATCTCCCAAAACCCCTAAGCCTGGAGAGCTGGGTGGAAGAATATCTGGATCAGTGGCTTGGAGAGTGGCCCGAGGAGAAATGGGTCTAGAGGTATTTAATTTATTTTACCATTGTAATTTTTCTTACTTTCTTATTCCTCCCTGTGCTATTCTCATTGCTTACAGAAAATACATTGGCCATGTCCTTTCAGTTAACTTTACAGAGTACTTGTTTAGAAATACAAACATCAGGAAGAATATACCAGTAAATGATTGACATACTATAGTCATGTAAAAGACTTTGCAAAGTATTTTTTTATTTGTAGGGTAATTTTCTTTACTTTTATTCTTTTTAAAAAAAAATGTTCTTTAAGTAGTTCTACAAAGGAGGTGCCATTTAAAAAGCATTTATGAATATAATGCATGTTGATCAGTGTTACCCCTTCAACATTCTCACTCTCTTTCACCCACCCCTTCCCTTTTTTTAATTTTGCGATGTATACAATGAATCCTGACTGCATTCTTTCCCTTTCTCCCCTTCATTCGTAACTCATTTGTAACTATTTGCATATTACCCATTGTGTTTACTTACAGATTTATTGATACACTCTATTTACCACAAGTGAGAGAAACCATGCAACCAGTGTTTCTCTGGGTCTGGCTTACTTCACTTAATATCATTTTTTCCAAGTCTTTCCATTTCCTTATGAATGGCAATATCATTCTAAAATATGAGCAAAATTCCATTCTGTATATAAACAACATTTTTTTTGTGGGGGGGGTCTGGTCGTGGGGCCTGAACTCTGGGCCTGGGCACTATCCACCAGCTCTTCAGCTCAAGGCTAGCGCTCTACCACTTGAGCTACAGTGCCACTTCTGGCTTTTTCCTTTTTGCTTATGTGGTGCTGAGGAATCGAACCCAGGGCCTCAGGCATGCAAGGCAAGTGCTCTACCATTGAGCCACCTTCCCAGCCCATAAACAACATTTTCTTGCTTGATCCATTCATCCATTCCAAGGGGCATCTGAGCTGATTCCATATCTTGGTTATGGTGAATCTTGCTGCAGTGAACATGGTTGTGCTGGTGGCTTTACTGTAATTTTGTTTGTGTAGGTGGGATTGCTTGGCTATAGGGTAGTTCTATGCTTGCTTTTTAGAAGAATTTTCATAATATTTTTCAGAGTGTTTGAACAAGATCACATTCACAACCAACAGTATATTAGAATTCCTTTTTGAACATACCTTAACTACCATTTGTGGGATTTTCTATTTGCCCTTTCTCACACAGCAAATATTTTAGATAAGAATTTATGGGAAATTTCACAGATTTGTTAGCATGTTTTCTAATGAATTTTTAAATTTTTAGTAACCATAGAGTCAGTAATCAGAATAAGAAATACATCTCCAGGACCCCAGAAACAAACATGAATTCCTTTCCAGTCATTATCTCCTACCCTAAAGTAACCATTGCCCAAGCATCTAATGGCATATCTTAGTAGTTTTGCCTGTTTCTGTGTTTTTTATACATGAAACTACATAGCTTGTATTTTGTGTATTGCTTTTTTCACATGATGTTATAGTAGTGAGACTCATACATGTTGCAATAGTTATAATGTTTGTCCTTATTGTTGTGCAATATTCCATTGTGTGAATGTATTATTGTTTATACAGTTCACATTGATGGGCATTTGTATTATTTCTGGGTTTGAGCTGTTTAAAATTTTGCTGCTGATTATATTACATATGTCTGCTGAGTAAATATCTAGAATTGGAATTTCTAGGTTTAATAGAATACCAGTATATTTAGACTTAGTAGACGGTGTCAAGCAGTTGTCCTGAGTAGTTGTGTCAAGTTTACACTCTGACTAGCAGTATAAACTGCTAGTTTATAGAAAAGATGATTTTCCACATTTCTACCAATACTTGGCATTGTTTGGTTTTTTGTTTTATTTTTAGCAGTTCTGATGGTACACAGAGCTGTTGCAATTTTAACTTGCATTTGTGTAATGATTAATGAATATGAGGACCTCTTCCAACTTCCTGATAGCATTTTTTGGGGAAGTGCCCATTCTGGCCTTTCAGACAAGATTTTAATGTATATTAGAGAATTTTTCTTTACTTTGTATTTCCTCCCTATGAAAAATTTATCAAGTGTGGGAATAATAGAGAATTTGAGTGATTCAATGATGAAAGTTGGTATTTATTTACAATACTGGAAATGTAATTTCTATAGTCACATTTTAGTTAGGGAGCAGGTGAAAGCTACTGTGCTAGGCTCTAATGAGCATTATAATGTCATACAATCCTACCTCTTACCCTAGGGAGTGTGGAGTGCATTATAGATATCTACTTAGGTGTATAATGAAAAATTCTTGGAAATAACCCGTCTTACTTATATTGGTATCAAGCATTTCTAAGCAAATTAAAGTCTGCTATTGTTGCAACTCATTTCTCTACTGAAGGAATATGTTCAAAAGGACTGAATTGTCCTCAGTAAGTTTTATATATTTTCAATTAATTCCATCATCTCTAGCAGTCAGGAAGAAGTGTTGGTTCAGCCATAGAATTATAAAAGCTAAACTCAACAAATAATTCCAATCACTGCTGATGCACTGTATAAGTTATAAGTATAAATCTAAATGAAGCAGTTGGAAGGATCTAATTTAGTCCACAGCTGTGTTCAATTTGAAGCATGGATATTATTTAGGTCTTCATTTTCTTTTTATGTGTGGTTGTGCTTCTTTTTACATGGCATGTAAGTTGATTACACTTTAAAAATATGAATTGGGTCATATACCCAGATTGTTTTCCCCTTTTGAAAATGTTTAAAATTTCTCAATTGCTGGTAACATCTTAGTACCATGAATTTAGAAATTGTTTTCCCCTTTAGAAATTGATGTTTTTAAAGTAAATAGAAAAATGTAAATCTTTTTTAAAAGGTAGAAATTAAATCTTGCACTCATTTGGGAAAAGAAGGAAAATTTGGTGATACTATCTCCAGCAGCAAAAATTGTCGTTTAGTCTTCATCTTAGTTTAAAAATATTTTTTGTAGGTCTGGAATTGCCTACCCTTCTACAGCCATACTTGGGAACCTAAAGCAGAGGAGGATTAAGAGAAAGTTCCAGGCTAGCTTGAACCTACATAGTGTCTTTATATTTCTTTTCCCTTTATACTTAGTCACCCAGTTAATCCTTTAGCTATTAATTCCTTATGTTTTGTGTTATGTGTTATGAATTATCATTGATTAAAAAAATAAGGGATGGGAAGACTAGAGACCGTGGATTTAATCCAACACCACAAAAAAACGGGGGTTGGGGGTATCTGGGAGGGGGAAGCAGGCAGTGAGCTAGAGGAGAGGGAATGATTGAGATGTGTTAATACATTTATTGTAAATTGTACTAATTCAGAAATTATAAAATGAATCTCTAAAATTAACATTTTTACCTTTTTGGCAGAAATATTCACACAATCTACTAAATAGTTGCCTTGTCTTATGTATTTAGTGCTACTGTTTTAAAATGCTGACAATCAAGATACATATGAATTAATTTTTCTTGTGTTCAGATTACTTTGTTCATTGATTCTTGTACATTTGAAATTTTTATGTTACCTATAACCCAAAGCTTAACAGAAAAGGAGTGCCTTCAACCCTGATCAGTTAGTAAATACTACACAGTAAGATGTTGACACAGATGAGTGGTTCTTGGAAGAGGATAGTTTGCCTTTCAGGGATGCTTTGGCAGTGTTTGGAGGTGTTTTAGTTGAGAGAGATGATAAATAGCTAGCATGAATTTATTTTGGACTAGAGTAGAAAAATTGCCTGGAATTTCAAGGTAAAATAGGAGCTTTCATAGTAATTTTCACACAGAGAAATACGTTTTAAGCCTAAGCTGTAAGGTATTCTCTTACTCAGAGTATTCAGGAAAGTACACTCTGGTGCAAAGGCTTTAGGTTGAGTCCTAAAGAGCTGAGAATGAATGAAGTGTATGTACGTTAGAAAGAACACCATTCTAGACAAGAAAGCAGGCCAAAGCCTTGAGACAAGAAGCAACTGAACTTTTTTTGAAGAAGCAAAGGAAGAGTCATATAGTAGAATCATAAAACTAAAAAGGAAGAGTGACATGAAATGTAGCTGGAAATAGACAGGGGCCAGGTCATTTAGGAACTGTGTGCTTTGGTCATAAAGTCAGGTGAGTTAAGCAAGAAAGAGACATATCCTAGTTTATGATTTTAGACTTTGATTTCTATGTCTCTGGAGAAGTGGAGTATGGATACCAGAGGTTAAGAGTTGAAAGCTAAGAGTCAACTTCGAAAAGTGAGGCTGTTAAAATGCAAGTAAATGGATATGGTAGTAGTGGAAATGAAGAAAAATGAACAAATTAAGGTGGATCACAAAATCACAAAAATTAAGTCAGTGTTGATACCTTTTCTCTACTAATGCCTATCATTATATTGGCATTAGAGCTACTTAAACAAAATATTTTCTGGAGTTTCCATTAGCACAATATTCTCTCTTTGAAATTGAAGTTGTCTTTTACAACTATAACTAGCTGTTTCTCTGTTTTTAGTATTATTTTTATAATATTGTAAAACTAACTCTTCTTTCTTTTTAAGAGAAAGGAAACCCTGTTCATTCCTTCTGAAAATGAGAAGATGTCTAAACATTTCCACCTTTGCTACAATATTGTGAAAAATCATTATGTTCGAGTTTCAAATAACAATCAAACCATTTCTGGATGGGAGAATGGTCTGTGGAAAATGGAATCCATATTCAGAAAAGTTGAAACAGACTGGAACATGGTAACAACATGAAACTGTTTAAAACGTCTGTCATTGTTTAAACAAATATAGATTGGCTCCATTTTTTAGTTGTATGTAATGTGAATGCATATATTCAAATTGATTTTAGCAATTCTTGATGAACAAAATCCTATCCCAACATACAAGCAGACTACACTAGAGCTAGGAACTGGTGGTTCACACTGGAGGTTGAGATCTGAGGATCAAGGTTCAAACCCTGCTCAGGCAGAAAAGTCTATGAAACTCTATTTCAGTTAACCAAAAAAGCCAGAAATGGAGCTGTTGCTCAAGTTGTAGAGCTCTAAGTGAAAAAGCTAAGGAACAGCATCCAGGCCCAATACCAGCGCGCACACACACACAAATACACCAGAAAATGTTGCATTTATATCAAGGAAACATCTGTTGTAATCATAGATCCTGAGTTCAATTCTTTCATGGCAACAGACATCAAATAACCAGTCCATGTGATTGTTTTGCAATGAATTTATAAAATAGATTGTTATTTAATTCCTTCCTAGTTACATATTGATACCCTACTAAATGCAGTCTGTTAGGGAGAATAATAGACTCAATAAACCAGGTTTAGGAAGCTAGCCATCTAAAGGTTTCATTTCATAAGGACATGAGTGAGCAGCAATCACTCCTCTTTGCCCTAAAAAAACTAAATAAATAAATGGAAGCCAGGACCATACCATAGTTCACTTTTATCAATACCAAGTTGCATATTATGTTCACATTATCAAAACAAGTGATGACTTGTTACTTTTAAACTTTCCTACTCCTTAAAAACATACTATAAATAAACTCAAGCTCTTCACATGAGCATAATAGATTAGATATACTAAACACTGTATTGATGATAGACACTTTTCATAGAAGTTACTTAACTTATAGGGAGCTTTTTAATTAATTTCCTAAGTTCAGTAGTAAGAGAGGTTGTTCACTTTTAAGACTATCCGACACATTAGAAAAGTGAGTCACGGTTAATTAATAGCTGTGTTTATAAGCATCTTCTGTATACTGCCACTACAACAGGCATTAAAGAGTACAAAATCCATAAAAATGTCTGCTTTTATTTAAATTCATATATTAAATTCATGTATCAGATGTAATTTAAACATGATATTTCTGCTTATCCACATAAATATCTAAATTAAATCTAATAATTTTTAAAACTTATGTTAAACCAAAAATTATTATTATAGGAGTATTAAAATTGTAAGCTTGAGAATTTTCTTATTTAGCTACAGAAATGTATAAATACAAAATTTTAAATTTCAGTGTTCATATATCTGTAGTTGATTCTGTATTCTGCAGTTAATGAGCAAGGGTGAACATCTAGAAAACTATCCTTAACCTAAAAATTCCTCTAAAAGAAAGCAGAATGAATTAGACATACTAGTTACTCAGTGACTAGTCTATACTCGCTGAATTGAAGAAAATACATAGATTTCTTCCTAACCAGTAGTGGAAAAGAAAATAACGATGTGTTGCAGATTATGTGACATTCAGAGAAACAGGGCTACACTGTGGTATATTTCTTCTTTGTCATTTGTCCATAAGCAGACATTGAACTGCGTGCCTATTATAGCAGGCACTGAACTGCATGCCTATTATAGCAGGCGCTCTTCTCAGCTGCTTGGGTAAAATGATAGAAGATGCGGTTCCTGCCCTCACCATGTAACAGCCACATAAGCAGCCATCTTAGTGGCCATGCACAATGCTGTAATACCAATATCACCACATTGCTATGGAAACACTGAAGTGGGAGGAATTCGCTTTGGCTGTGGGAGTTGGGCAAACCTCCACAAAGCAGGCAACATTTGAGCTGGACACTGAAGGATGAGTAGGTGTTAGCCAAGCAAGGAAGCAGCAGGAAAAAGACAGGAAGTATATGGTATATTTTGATATTTTAAATAGAACATTGTTGCCAGAGAGGGTGGGTTTTATGAGCGGGAGTTAAATATGTAAATGAGATGCAAATGCCATTAAATAGAAAACACACCACTGTTGGAAAAAAGCTTGTGCCTTGATACTCATTTATGAGGGATACTATTTTTTAAGTTGAATGTATCTGTTTCTAGATACAATATTTAGCACTTATAGAACATAATAACCCAAAAGTAATAATTATTTGTTTCAATTGCTTGTCTACTCCATTTAAATCCTACTTCTAGTTGTTCTTTATAGTGTAACCCCAGTTAGGAATTCTTTAGCTCTGTTGAATAGTAGACTTCCAACCTTATGTCATGACAGTTCACATACAACCTATTCTCACATTTCTTTCTTTCTTTTTTTTTTTTTTTTTGTCAATCATGAGCTTGAACTCTGGGCCTGGGCACTGTTCCTGAGCTTTTTCACTCAAGGCTAGTGCTCTATCACTTTGAGCCACAGCTCCACTTCTGGTTTCTGGTGGTAAATTAGAAATGAGTCTCACCAACTTTTCTACTTTGGCTAGCTTTGAACCATAATCTTCAGATCTCAGCCTCTTGAGTAGTTAGGATTACGGGCAGGAGGCCAGGCACCCGGAAAATTTCTCTTTTTAAATTTTACTGCTAGAACTGAGAGCTTTAACTTAGAGGCTCAGGCTCTTGCTCAGCTTTCTTGCTTAAAGCTGGTGCCCTACCACATGAGCCATACCTCTTCAGACTAGCTTTTTGCTGTTTGGAAATGGATTATCTCAGACTTTCCTGCCTAGCTGGTTTTGAACCACAGTCCTTCAGTCTCAGCTTTCTAGTAGCTAAGACTACAGGTATACACTCCTGGCACTCAGCCTGATTTTGGATTCCTAAAACAGATTATTTTCAGAGTCATTTTCCCAGGGTCACATGGATGCATTAAATTTTACTATTAACATTGTTCAGCAAATATATTGATACTTGAACCTAAAATCAAAGTCCAGATGACCTGTGTGCATTTTGGGTGGCTAGTGAAAATACCATAATTAAAGTGGTTCATGACTTTTTCTCCTTGCATCTGCCCTGCCTGGGGCTCTCCATTCTGTGGCTAGAGAAATGGTTTCAAAACCTCATTTGTTACTGTGAATGCATCTCTAAGTCTCTGCAGAGGGACCTTGTCTCCTCTGGCCTTGCCTTGTTTTCTGCATTTCTCCTCTATTTCCTTTTTCTTAGACTCACTTATCCTCAGACTGAACTTAAGCTGTTCTCCCTCTAGTCCTATCTAACTGAGTCCATTTTCTTTATTGCCCCAGGCTCCTCCCCTTTGTCATATATATTAACAGGCATGTAAGAATAGATTCTCTCCTCCCTTCTAGAGTGAAAACATTTCTCAAGCAGAAACATTCTTTGTCATTTCCCACTCTTTTATCTATCTAATAGTGTCTAATACATAATCAGTACTATTGAACTGATTATGGATTAGAATATAATCTTTAGTAAAGATATGAAAAATGATTGAATGTGACATAATTCTGTGCCACACTAGGGCTTTGGAGAATATTACAGATATCTTGTTGTTTTGTCCACAGTATTCCCTGAATGCTCTTAGACACATTCGATTTCAAACAGTTTTATTGCTGCTTTTGTCACTTAGAGCCATTTTTGCACTTTCTGATGCATGACATTGTGTCCGTAATTTAGCCATTCAGCAGACACATTATCCAGCATTGTGCTTGGCATTCAGGATGGAGTGACCTGAGGGGCAAGCCTCAAAATGCTCATGATTAGTATAAGAAAAATACATGTGGGCCAAATTAGATTAGTAGAGTCATTTTTTGTTGTTGTTGTTAGTCATGGGGCCTGAACTCTAGGCCTGGGCACTGTCCCTCAGCTCTTCAGCTCAAGACTAGCACTCTACCACTTGAGCCACAGCGCCACTTCCAGCTTTTTCTGCTTATGTGGTACTGAGGAATCGAACCCAGGGCCTCATGCATGCAAAGCAAGCACTCTACCACTGAGCCACCTTCCCAGCCCCACAGTGGTGTTATTTTTCAAACAATATGACATGTATATGATGCAGAAAGAGGGAGGAAAATAGGAAGAGCCACTGCCCTCCTGAGACAGAAGTCCTTGCAAAAGAAATAGTATCATGGCTTTTCTAAGAGGAAGAGAGCTTCCTCAGCTCAGCTGAAGACAAGTTGTGGAAGGAGAAGGAATGGAGGCATAAGAAATAGCTTGTACAAAAGCACTGAAGTTAGAAACGTCTAGTATCTTAATGGAAGAGTAAGCAGTAGAGGAGATAAAGACAAGGGTAATAGGAGATGAAAGAAACACAGTTGTCAGGCCATTTGGGGCAGAAGGACAGGTAGAACAGATACTCCAGAGAGATAGTTCCAAAGACAAATAATGGAGTAACCCAGACTTGAAGCATAGAACAATCTAAATACAGTAGGAGTGAAAATGGATTTATATTGAATTTCAGTGATAAAATGAAATAACCAAAAGGAATAATATTCATGAGCAATATCATTTTACCAGTATTGAGTTAAAATCCCTCACACTCCTGGTATCTAGAAATGAGTGACTGCAGGATGCCTTCTGTGTAGTGAACTTAATTAAAATGAATCTTAGCAGAAGAGTAATTTTAAGAGAATCACTTTAAATTTAAAGAACCACTTGAAACAAGCACTAAAAACCAAACCTCCAGGAAATTAGTTACCTGACATGTAGTAATCAAAAGCTCTATTCAAAGACCTCTATTCTCTGTAAAATAAAGAAGCTGACATGCAGATATTCTCAGTGTTGAAATGAATAGTTGCAGCCAAAACCCATAGGACAAGTTTTATCTGTATATGTTATAAATAGTTTAGAACTTTTGTTATAAACACATTCATCTCATTCTCACCGGCAGGTGAGGAAGATGCAGATTACCAATTATAGGGGTGGTAGTTTTTCCTTCCTACTCCATGATTTCTGATTTTACTAACTTTCTTGCTAAGGTAGAAGAGCAACACTCACTACATAGACCTACAGATTGGAAAATTAAGCATATAAAAATGCACACAATAACTGGGTGCTGGTGGCTCATGCCTATAATCCTAGGTACTCAAGAGGCTGAGATCTGAAGATCACAGTTCAAACCCAGTCTGTGCAGGTTAAGTCCTTGAGACTTATCTCCAGAAAACCAGAAGTGGCTTTGTAGCTCAAGCCACAGGGTTCTGTAGAGCCCTAGCTTTGAGCAAAAAAGCTCATGGATAGCAACCAGGCCCAGAGTTCAAGCCCCATGTTCAACAACAAAAAGAAAAAATGCACACATTAAATTTATGAATTTTAAAAGCCAGTAGACATCAACAAATGATGCTGGCAGAATTGGCTATACATGTGTAGAAAACAAGTTCAATTCTTACGCATCATCCTGCACCAGAATCAACTCCAAATGGATCAAAGACCTTTAGGTAAAAGCAGACACCCTGAAAACATTGCAGGAAAGAATAGAAATACGAAGTCTCCTTGGCACAGGTCAAAACTTTCTTTTTTTTTGGGGGGGGGGTCCGGTTGTGGGGCCTGAACTCTGGGCCTGGGCGCTATCCCTCAGCTCTTCAGCTCAAGGCTAGCGCTCTACCACTTGAGCCACAGCACCACTTCTGGGTTTTTTCTTTTGCTTATGTGGTGCTGAGGAATCGAACCCAGAGCCTCAGGCATGCAAGGCAAGTGCTCTACCACTGAGCCACCTTCCCAGCCCCAGGTCAAAACTTTCTTAATAAAGACCTAGAAACAACAAATCAAAAAAATTTTGGATAAATAGAATTGCATTAAACTACAGAGCTTCTACATGGCAAAGGACATAGCTAGCAAGATAAATAGAAAGCCCACAGACTGGGAAAAGATCTTCACAGCCATAAATCGACTAGAGCCTCATATCTAAAATATACTTACAGCTCAAAAAGTCCCCCAAAATCAAATCCTTAAAGAGAACAACCACCTCATTAACAGTTGGGCTAAAGACTTAAGGAGAGACTTCTCTGAAGAGGAAATAAGAGTGGCCAATAAACACATGAAGAAATGTGGCCATAAAAGAAATGCAAATCAAAACAACATTGAGATTCCACCTTATCCCAGTTAGAATGGACATTGATCTGTAAATCTAATAACAACAGATGCTGTCAGGGATGTGGCCAAAAGGTATAAACTTGTCAGCTACTCTGGAAAGCAGTATGAAGGCTCCTCAAAAGATGACCCAGCAATCCAACTCCTGGGCATTTACTCAAATCACCACAAACAAGGCCATATTAAAGCTTACCAGCACACCATGTTCATTGCAGCATTATTTACCATAGCTAAGACACAGAACCAACTCAGATGCCACTCAGTAGATGAATGGACTAAGAAGATGTGGTATATATACACAGTGGAGTTCTATGCTTCCATCAGAAAGAATGGCATTGCCCCATTTGTAAGGAAATGGAAAGACCTGGAAAAATTTATATTAAGCAGAGCAAGCCAGGCCCAAAGAAAAGTAGGTTGCATGGTTTCTCTCATAATAACTAGAATATGTCTATGATATTCTTAACGGGATCACAATAGCCCAGTTGCTAAGTGTAGAGGACCATATATAATGATGTATATCAAAGTGAACTCCAAGAATTGGAAAAAAGTTCTTATTATGTCCTGTATGCAGTTTCTATTTTTTTCTGTTTTAGTTTTCTGTATCCTTTGTCTTGTATATAAGTTTATCTGATCTGTGGAAAGGAAACAGCAGGACAAAGGATAAACTAATGCAAAATGATACTCACTGGACACTGTGTGGGAAATGAACTATACAACTTGAGGAGAATAGGGAGGGGTAAGTGGGAGAAAATGAGGGAGTAGGGAACAGTGTTTAAAAAGAAATGTTCTCATCTTACTTATGTAACTGAATCCCCCTGTGCATCACCTTTACGATAAAAAATATTTTTTTTTAAAGCCAGTAGGGCCAGGTGCTGGTGGCTCCCGCCTGTAATCCTAGCTAGTCAGGAGGCTGAGATCTCAGGATCACAGTTCAAAGCCAGCCCGGGTAGGAAAGTCTGTGAGACTCTTATCTCCAATAAACCACTAGAAAACCGGAAGTGGTGCTGTGGCTCAAGTGGTAGAGCGCTTGCCTTGAGCTGAAGAGTGCCAGGACAGCGCCCAAGCCCAGAGTTCAAACGCCATGACTGACAAAAAAAAGCCACCTCTGTTAAATAGGAAGTTAGGATCAATTAATATTTATTTATATTTAACTTGGAAGAAAAACAAGTATACCAATTATTGAGCTTTTCACTAAGTAAAGACTGGAACATAGAAAAATATATTGGTATTTTCATAATAAGTGTGTTTTATCGTACTTTCAAAGTTGTGCCCTAGAACTAAGAGTGAAGTTAGATGTTCCTTGAAGAATTGAGTCTGGAATATGCACATATGCAAATTTTAATACTTAATATTTCTTGAAGCCCTCTTTATGAGTCCAGAACCTGTGCCCCGCCCCCACCCACCAGAAAGCTTCTGATTTGGGTTAAGTTAGATAACCCAGATGAGACAAGTTACATTTAGATAAGAAAGTTTTGGCAATTTGAGGTGAGATGAAATTATAGAGGACCTTGAAAACCAGTGATTGAGACTAAAGGCAGGTACCAGGTACTTGAATGACATCCTACACAGGCAGATAGATAATCTTGAAGGATGTAGAATTTTAAAATGTTAATCTGATCAAAGCAATTAGAATTTACCAGTGTTAGGCAGTTACAGTAAAATGTTTAAAGTCATAACTAGGGGTAAGTACAGCATAAATGAGGAAAGGGATCTTTGCCCAGATACTTGAAAGGCATCCATAGATTTTTAGGATATATAACAAGGTGGATATAATTGACAGAGTTTGAGTGATTGACACTTGCCTATGGTGGTCAGCTTTCATGTCAACACATGGAGGAGAAGGAGGCAAACTGGAAACAGCCAGAATACTTAGGTGCCTTCTAATCATGTATTTTTAAAGTGGAAAGGGCTGGTAAGAACCAGGACTGCACTGGTGAGGTGGACACAGATGTTGCCTTTTAAACAGTTACAAAGCAGTGGCTGAGCTTGTCTTTTTGATTTAGTCTATATGGCTTGTCTCACTCTAGGAAAGTTTATATGAAAATCTAGACTTTGGAAATAAACTTAGAAGTAGATATAAAGGATCCTCATTTCCAGCAGGATTCTTAACACTCATTTTAAGTAGTTGTATTTCTTAATTTAAAAGATTGTAATTTATGAAAATTTGATTAGCATGGAATTCTGAAAGTTAGAACTGCACTAATGGGGCACTTGCATTTTAGTAACTTTATTCCAGACAAAAAGATACTCCAGGAAAAATTGCCAAAGAACTGTTCAATGTTAGTAATCATCTTGTTAATGAGGAAACGTATTCTTTCGTAACCTTGCGAGGTAGACAGACTTCTCGGTTTTCTACACTACTTAATTGTTCTGACCGTTCTTCCCCCTACTCTATAGGTATACTTGGCTCGAAAGGAAGGATCATCTTCTGCTTACATTTCCTGGAAGTTTGAGTGTGGCTCAGTTGGCCTAAAAGTAGATAGCATTTCCATCAGAGCAAGTAGTCAAACCTTTGAGACTGGAACAGTAAGGTGGAAGTTGCGATCTGATAGTACACACATAGACCTGACAGGCGGTAAGCATTTGACAAGAGAATCCTAAAGCACTTATTTATACTCTGGAGACTACTTGTACTACTTGAGATGTAACTCTTGACATTTTCATTCCAGAGAGTTATTCATACTATTTTGGTTAAAAAATATCTGTCTGTCTCTGTTTTATTAGCATACATGAGTTGCATGTGAGGAATTTCATTGTTACATTTCCAAACATGAATGCATTGTGTTCCTGTCAGACTCACTCCCCCTATCATTCTCTCTTAACCCCACTTCTTAAAACAGTTTTAACAGGCTTCATTGTTTTATTATCCTTCATGAAATAATAAAACTTCAATAAATGTGGCAAAAATATTTTTAAAATAATTAACTATTTAACCTTATGTCAGAAAGACTGATATTTTTTGTGATGAAGCACAAATTTAAAAAGAAAAATCACTTTTTTTGTGCCAGTCCTAGCGCCGAGCTCTGTGGCTGAGTTGTGTTTTTGTTGTTGTTGTTGTTTTGGTTTTGGTTTGGTTTGGTTTGGTTTGGTTTTATTTTTTGCTCAAGGCCAGCACTATGCCACTTAAGCCACAGCTCCACCTCTGGCTTTTTTGGTAGTTAATGGAATACTCACAGGCTGGCTTCAAACCACAATTCTCAGATCTCAGTCTCCTGAGTAGTTAGGATTACAGGGATAAGCCACCAGCACCTGGCTATTCTTTATTTCAAAAGATGCATCCCCTCCTTCAAGAATAATATACATTTGTTTTTTAAAAGAGTGATTTTAATTTACAGGTCAGCCTATAGAAAAATGTGTTCCCAAACTATTTATGCTTTTAAATTGCCACAAACAATGTGTAACTTTTTCTTTCTCTTCAACAGATAAAAATCTTCAGTTGTATAAGGATTTTTCAGGTGCCACTGAAGTTATTTTGGAAGCAGAGTTAAGCAAAGGAGATGGTGATGCTGCTTGGCAACATACGCAGCTGTTTAGACAGAGCTTAAATGACCATGAAGAGAATGGTTTGGAGATAATCATAAAGCTCACTGAACTCTGACAGCCTGACCATTCTAGAAAAGCAGGCAGTAATCAAGGATTTATCATGCGAGTTGTCTGGATTTAGTGCATGCTCATTTGGCAATTTACCACCCTGTGCCCACATACTTCTTTTGCTAGCTATCCATCATGTATCCCTCATTAAAATATATCTTTATACTGTGAACCATAATGAATCTTGACTTGAAAACTCCCTTTCATATATCACTTACAACTCAGTGTAAAGTGTCTTGTCCCCATATGAGATTCTAATTCAAATAGTTTTAAAGAAAATGATGGTGTTCATGACTATGCTGTTCATAATTATGGTAAAATCTTGGGCTAATAGTAAATTAACATTTTCTGGTCAGACATTAATGTCTTTATAAGTAGTTGAATTAGATTTTCTTAATATTTTTAAGTTTTAACAAATGTGCTTAGTGCAGTATCTTATAAGTTATATAATGCATGAAAATTTTTATGGTTGTAAATATATAGTTATTAAATAAAAATTATTTTGCCTTACACCTTTTTAGTGCTTACTTTGGCTATATACAAACCTATGTTATATGTCCTAAGCATTGAAAAACACTGAATAAGCAAAAGTTATGAAAACATTTAATATTGACAGCATAAATTCAAAGATACATTGTAAGTTCCATAGTTGTGAACACTTGAAATGGTTTACATTTAAGTTGTAAACTACCTCATTGAATAAAGTATTTATGATTTTGAAACTATGTTCACTCTGTTATACAGTATTTTATCAACAATACCAAGAGTTTTTTGTTTTGGGTTTTTTTTTTTTTGGTAGCATTCCAAATTACCTCCAGCTAAGTTTAATGAGCATTTATTAGGCGGCATATATGTGGAGAGTGGGATGGAACTGTGGAGAAGCAATGGTAAAGAAGACACCCTTTTCCACAAGGAAAGCGCCTGTTCAGAAATTTTCACCCTTTGCAACTCAGTAGATCATGGTGGGTGTTGCAAATCATGTAGTAAGATCCTGAAACAAAAGCCATATTATTTACTTTTTAATAGTTGCAGCTGCCACCGGGCACCAGTGGCTCACCCCTGTAATCCTGTAATCAAGAGCCTCATCTATGTAATCCCTGTAATCAAGAGGCCTAGATCCGAGGTTCACAATTCAAAGCCAGCCAGGGCAGAAAAGTCCATGAGACTCTTAACTCCAAATAACCAGCAAAAAGCTGGACATGGAGCTGTGGTTCAAGTAGCAGTGTAAAAATGCTCAGGGGCCGCATCCACGCTCTGCGTTCAAACCCCAGGACTGGCACAATAGTAATAATTCCTGCCAAACTATTGACTTACATTTCCTTCCCTTTTTCCTTTTTGTTTTCTTCTTTTATTTTGTTTTTGAGACAAGATTAATATGTTGCCCAAATTGGCCTTGAACTCAAAGCCCTCCTGCCTTAATATCCCTAGTGAGGATTACAGGCCGCCACACCTAGCCAAAAAATCCAAAAGTATTGTGCATCTGAAGTTATTAAAAAGTACCTTGAATAGGGCTTGGAAGTAGCTCAGTGGTAGAGTGCTTGCCTTGCATGCATGAGTCCCTGGGTTCGATTCCTCAGCACCATATAAGCAGAAAAGGCCAGAAGTGGTGCTGTGGCTCAAGTGGTAGAGCACTAGCCTTGAGCTAAATTGCTGAGGGACAGTGCCCAGGCCCTACAACTGACAAAAATAAATAAATAAATGTCTTGAATAGAAGGTTTTCTGGAACTCTCAGACAATTATAGGTTTTTGGTTTTTGTTGTTGTTGTTGGGTTTTTTGTTTTTGTTTTTGGCCAGTCATGGGGCCT